ACGGAAGGGCACGGGTGCACAAGTGCAGCTGACATGGTTCAGACAGGGTGTGTGGGGCTGGAGGAGGTGGAGGTATGAAGGCTATGGCTAGGGTAACACTAGGAAGGACTTGGCGTCTCAGTGAATTTGGGAGGAACGAGACAAAATTACATGTACACCCTACTTAACATTAGTCCTTATACAATAAAAAAGATCAGAGAGATTCGAATTTGATACGTCACCTTTTTAGATACATCTGCTTGTAATATGCTAGGTGTGCTTTTAACAACGGATCTAGTACTGAGTTTAACTTCCTCTGGGATCTAGTACTGAGTTTAACTTCCCCTGGGTCCAAGAATCCTAACTCGGTGTTTTCTGCACTCGTCTGGAAGCCTGGTGGATAGTTTCCTAGTGTTAATGTGCCACCTAGTGGTTCAATATGTACATTCGAATCACACATAATTTGGGCTGAAAAGATTTATAAATATGAATGTTCATCTTACTTTATAATAATACCTTGGCGGGGTGGCTCTGTAGCCTTGTGGTTAAGGGAGCCAGGATCGACATAGCTGGCCGCAAGGTTTGAATGCCAGCCTTGAAGGCTTGAACACATGCAAGGTGTGTGTGTTTGTGTGCTCAAGGTCCTGACAGGATGGGGAAATGGAGAAGAGATTGCAGTAAGAAAACATCCCATGGTGGGTGCTTTCTCCATCCCGCCCCTGCACTTTCTCCGTCTCTCTTGGGCGAGTACACACACCTTCTGGCAAAAAAAAAAAAAAGTACACACACACACACACACACACACCCGCACACACACATACAATGTACTGTTTTCTAGGAACAAGAGCCAAAGTAAATTCACTAATTCAGAATATTGATACTGCTGATTTCTCTGGCTTCATTGTGAGGGAATCGACAGTAGTCATTGTGAGTATAATTTCCTCTGTGAGCTTTTTTCTCTTTTAAAACTTTAGGTTGGAACTAATAGTTGGCATAATGGCTATGTCATTGGATTCCCATGCAGTTGACCGTGGTTTGAGTCCTGGACCTGGTGGCTTAAACTCACAACGGGAACATGTGTGTGCGTGCCCAAGATCCCAAGAGGAGAATGGAGGAGAAGGGATTGCAGTGTGGCCATCTCCCCTGGGGGGCGATTTCTCACTTTTTGTCCCTCTGTCTCTCTCTGTCTTTCTGGCAAGCACATGCACCCTATAGCAAAGACAGACAGACACCTCACCCCACACCCCCCCCAAAAAAAAAAAACTTAGGTATTTGGAAAGTAAAGAGCTGATTTCTGTGTTTGCTCCTTCTCTGCAGTGAAAATTCATGTTTCTTAGGTTGCTGGGCAAAAATGAGGGAGGAGAAAGCAACTGATGAATTGTTTGCTGACTTTTATCGTGTAATCAGCTCACTCTTGACTATTCTATGACATGCTTATTTCCTGAAAGCTTTATAACCTTACTTTTTAAAAAAAAAATTGTTTTAATGTTTTACTTATTCTGTGTCCCTGTGAGAGTAAGAGAGAGCATTCCCAGCAGAGACCCCACTCTGTGATCCTTCCCCAGTCCCAGCTCCAGATCACGGGCAGGCATGTGCCCACTACACTGAGCAGTGCCTGTACATTGAGAGAAGGTCTCCGGATTTGAATGGGGAAAGTTTCCACGTGGGACTGCCTCACAGAGCATTGCGTTTTACCACTCTGCCATTCCTGGCCACCCAGAACCTCAGTTCTCATTTATAGCCCCTAGTTTTAATCGCAAGTGGTGAGTTAAAAAATAACAGTTGGGACCAGCACATAGCATAATGGCTCCTTTGCTGGACTCCCACAGAGTCAACCATGATTCGAGTCCTGGACCAGGTGGCTTGAAACACACCGGGCATGTACGCATGTGCCCAAAATCCCAAGAGGAGAATGGAGGAGATGGGATTGCGGCATGGCCATCCCCTCTAGGGTGTGATTTCTCACCTTCTGTCTGTCTCTCTAGTGAGTGCACATGCCCTGTAGCAAAAATCTCTCTCAAAAAAAAAAAAATAACAAAATAAAGTAAAAATAACAACAGTCATAGATGCTAGAGAGAAAAATTTTCCCTTTTGCCAGGAATTGTGCAGAGCACTTTATATAAATGACCACCCCATTCTCACAAAACCCAACATAATAATATGATTCCCAGTTTGAAAAAGAGGAAAGAGGCTCAAGGATTCTTTCTAATTGCTCTTGAGCTCACACAATGAAGTAATTGTGCCTGAGGCCTTTGGTCAATGTAGGGAATGTTATTCAGCCACAAAAATGAAGAAGAGTCTGTCATTTGCCATAACGTGGATAGATCTGGAGGACATTTTATAATAGTAAGCAAAATAGGCCAAATGGAGAAAGACAAATACCGCGGGATCTCACTTAAATATGAGCTCTCAAACAGCTGGTCTCACAGATGGACACAGTAAACCAGTGATTGCCAGGGGCTAGAATGGGTGGGGGGGGTCTGGGCATGGGGAGAGATTAGTTCATGGACACAAAATTACAGTTGAATAGGAGGAATAATCTCTGGTGTCCTACCATATAGTGGAGTGACGATAGTTAGCAATGTTATTGTGTATTTTTTTTTCAAATCAAGTAGAAGAGAGAATTTCGAATGTTCTCAGAATGAAGGGATGATCAATGTTTGAAGTGACAGATGCCAAAGGCCCTGATTTGCTCCTCACACGATGTAGTCACGTGTCAAAACATCACACTGTCCTCATGCATATGTACAATTATTATGCGTCAATTCGAAATGAAGTAAATCAGGAAAAAGTTTCTTTCCTATGTCTGAAGCATCACTTATCATTGTAGAATTAATTGTATTTCCTTTACTCACGGGAAAATATAGTGAGAATACCTGTTTAACTTAAAAGACTCAGTTACGTTTGAGCCCATTTTTCTAGAAGATTATTATCTATGTTACTTCAAAAAATAAGACACACTAAGGATTCACATTCCCATGACAACTACCTCTTTCCAGAATATGGCTGCTTGTCTTTTCTTTTCTTTTTTTAGACAGATTTTTTGCTACAGGGCACGTGCGCTCACCAGAGAGATAGAGAGACAGAAAATATGAAATCACCTCCCCAGAAGAAATGGGCATACCGCAATCCCTTCTCCTCCTTTTTTCTCTTGGGATTCTGGGAATGCATGCACACAGTCTGGTATAAGTTTCAAGCCTCCAGGTCCAGGACTCAAACCAACTACATGGGAGTCCAGTGATGTAACCGTTACGCCACCTGCTGGTTCCATGGCTACTTGTTTTGTATTTAATGTTGCTATTAGAGAATAGAAGAGCCTGGCTGTGGGCCTGACAGTGAGTAACAAATATATACCGTGTGTTAGCACCACTGAAGACTGACACCTCTCTTCCCCAGACCTGGAACTACAGTTCCCAACGAGCTTGGAGGTGGGGATGTGAAATCCCTCTTGTGCGCATGTGCCGAAGACCACATGGGCAACACAACTTTGAGAGGAGGCCATGGCACCTAAATTGCTCTGAGTTATTAGCTCAGTAACTAGGACCTTCATGTTGAGTGGTCTGCGGGATAGAGGATAAGGGAGTTGTGGCATACACTGTGATCGGGCTCTGTCTCTCAGAGCCCTGAAATGTCTGCCTCATTGTTCGTTAAGATGGGTCCTGTGGTCCTGTCCCAGGGAATGCAGTCTTACTGATATCGACAGGGAACTAAAGCAGCTGCAGGGCCAGGATCCTCTCAGGATCCTTCCCAACCCAGTTCCCAATGCTCTGCAAGAACTGCTTCCAAATTCTAAATGTTTTCTTCTCTCCGCCAAGTCCTAGCTAGGTTAATTTTTACTTTGTACTAGAAACAGTATTATGACACTTTCAACAGCAATCCCTCCTTAAAAAAAAACTTATTTATATAATTTTATTTATTATTATATACTTTTTTTTTAACTTGTGATAGGGTGCATTCACTCTACAGAGAGACAGAGAGAGAGGGAGAGGGAGAGGGAAAGTCAGAAAGCAAGCTGCCAGGTCTGGGCCTAGAACCGTAGTTGGTCATGTGGGAATCCTGCTCCTTACCCACCATGCCACCTACTGGCCCCAACAGCAATTTGTAAATGTCACAATCGCCTGTATTTTCTTCTGGTAATGAATTTGGGTATATTTAAGATTATTCTGAATACAAGGTAAACATGCATGTTCATTGATGAGATTTCAGTGCATGGTGTTTTGCGGAGCGAGAGGACAGCCATGTTTTATATCTGTTTTGTTTGTTTTTTCAGTCGGGGAAGCAGAGCACTTCTTCAGGGATACCTTCCTTCCTCATTAGAGAAAGTCTTCACTTCCACTGGTCTCCTTCTGACTGTCCACTAACTATAAAGAACATATATTACAGATGGAGTAACTACTTGTTTCTTCTCTATGATCACCTTCCCTGTGAAGGGTAAAAAATCATAAATTTGCCATGCTCTAAATATTTTATTCCTAACTTTATCAGCACACTATCTGGACCACTTCTAGAATATTCTTCCTGTGGGGTGGGGGTGGGAGGAATTGTAGCTGAGGACACACATAGCAAGAGTGTGATGGGGAGATGTCCCAATGTGCGCATGTGGTGAGATATCTCTGTAGCTGTTTCAAATGCATACTCTAATGAAAAGGCCAATTTTATTTCTGTTTAGACCAGACAGTGTTTACTCGCTTGTTGTATTCAATGCAAGAGAGCTACTGTGTGTGTGCAAAAAGGGGGGACGGAGAAAGGGAGAGAGAGAATGAGAGAGAGATAGGGAGAGAGAACATTCCCCCAGCAGAGTCTTATCACACTGCAATCCTTCTTCCTCCAATTCCCCATCCCATCAGGATCCTGGGTACACACATACACATACACACATGCCTGGTATGTTTTTCAGACCACCGAGGACTGGGACTTGAGCCCTGTCAGCTGTGTGGGATCTGGCTATGGGCTGGCTCTGAACACATGTGTTCTTGAGTTCAGAGAAGCATTCATCCTGTATCTTCTGTTTCCATTTGCAGGTGATAAAAGACGCCATCGTTGACAGCATTGAATACAGAAGGCAGAATCCGTCTCGGTGCTCTGTTTCCCTCAGTAATGTTGAGGCAAGAAGATTTTTCAACAAAGAGTTTCTAAGTAAACCCCCAGCCTAGTTTGGTTACTACGGAGGGCAGCAGTGCCTGATGCTGGGGCAGACCGAAATTCCATGACAACTGGATTGAAAAGCACAGGACAGGTCACAGTACTGATCCCCTGAGACCAGCAAATTCTCAAACTCACAGTTTATTAGGCTGTGTGAGAATTCTACTAGTGGGTCATCGGAAAAGTCATGACGTAACTTTCTATGTTTTTCTATGCAAAAATGCATCATGACTTTTTCGATGACCCAATTATTTGAAGTCGGTTAGGATGAAACATGATGTTGGTTATATAAACGTATCTTTAGCTACATTTTCTGTCAGAATGGATTTCCTGATGCGAATGTAGATGCACACACCGTATGTTTAAGCATTCCTCACCAACCTTCATAGGTTTGCTCTTTCTAAAAATGTGGTTTTCTTTAAAACATGTTCAACAGTTCAAGCTCAGTAAGACCTCCCATTTCGCGTGAATGTTATTCACTGACTAGGTGTAGGCATGCTCTGAAACAACACTATTTTTATTTATATGTGCATATATATACATATATGTAATAAAGATATCAATATGCAATTCAGTATGAAATAACTGGGTTTTTGTCATTCTTTGGAATAGAATATTGTACTGTTGCTATGAAAAATTCTCAGATTTACTGCATTCAAATGCAGTGTGAAACCTTCATTTTAAATCATGATTATTTTTCATCTAGAGAAAGTGTATATATTGTTCCAATAAGGGGGTGGATGTATACATAACTACTTCTTATATAATGTTTTTGTTTGCTGATATTATCCTGGCCTGCATACCCACCAAGCAGAGCAGTCAACCTCAGACAGTCCACCGTGGCCAGGGCTTAATGAAGTGACCTGTCTCTGGCGTCTGCAGTTGTCTTAGGGACAATCTGTACTGCATGGTCATGGTTTCGGGCACAGTTAAACTTGAGTGGTTCGGGATTGCCATTCTAAATAGAAAGTCCTGGGACCAGCAGTTAGTGTAATGGCAGCGTCATTGGACTCTCATGTAGTCGACCCCCATTCAAGTCCTGGACCTGGTGACTTAAACTCACGCCAGGCACATGTGCGTGCGTGCCCAAGATCCCGAGAGGAGAATGGAGGAGAAGGGATTGTGGCATGGCCATCCCTCCTGGAGGGTGATTTCTTGCTTTCTGTCTCTCTGTTTCTCTCTGTCTGTCTGGCGAGCACACGGGCCCTATAGCAAAAACCTCTCCAATAAATAAATAAATAAATGAATAGATAGAAAGTCTTCCTCTTCTTCCTTCACTCTCTTTCTGATTTCCTGGACTCACCTGTCTTTAAGCTCTCTGTTCATTCATCTCTTTTTCTCTTGCTTTTCATTCGCATTGTGGCCACTGAGGAAAGACACACAGTAAACAAGGGGAGACGCAACGTTTGTTTCTATATTGATGTGTGCATCCGGGGAATGCCCAGTTCCTACCATCAGGCATGCTGCAGGACCTGGGGACACAGCAGAGGACAAAAGTGACCAAGTGCCTGCCCTCGACGATCTTACGTTCATTTAGGTGGCCTACGATAAGCAAGACAACCAAGCAGCTAGAGAGTTAGCACGTGGCAGGTGCCAAGGAGAAAATTAAAGAAGGGAAAAGCAGAGATGGGCAATGGCAGGGGAGGGTCATCTTTCAAGGGTCCCAAGGAAGGTCAAAATGTGAAGATGACATCAGAATAAGGATGTGAAGAACGGAGGAAGCAGGACCTGTGGCTATCAAGGGGAAGAGCACTCACAGCAGAGGGTACACGTGCAAAGATCCTGAGATCCAAGCATGTTTTAGGACTAGGGAAGGGACCCATGTGTGTAAGGAAGAGTGGGATGTATAAGAAATTAATTTTATTTATTCAAACATTGGCAATGTTTACATTTATCATTCCAGATATCCCTATGAAGTGATAACACTAGAAAGTTACGAGATTTGCCCAAGGTTACTAGAATTAATAGATCTGAAATCTTAAAGCCTTGACTTTATAGCATTTCAAACACAATCTATGGGTTTCCCCCCAAGAAATGACTTGACACTTTAAAGATTAGCTTTGCACAGCTGGAATAATTTAAGATCCTCAGTTTCTTTGTTCACATGTTTTTAGCTTAGTAACTATAATATAGTCTTCTTATCTAATTTAGTTTTGCCAGTTTGTTTAGGAATTTGCTTGAGTTCTTATTTTATAAAAAACTACATTTTGGGGGGCCAGCAGATGGTGTAATGGTTATGTCGCTGGACTCCCATGTAGTCAGCTGTGGCTCAAGTTCCAGACCCAGTGGCTTAAAACACATGCTGGGTGTGGGTGTGTGTCCATGCCCA